TCCATATTTAAAAGATCACTACATTAGGTGTTGGTACAATATTTAATGAATAGGGTAGAAAAAGTATGAGAGAATGATTGAAGGTGAAAAAGTAGGAAAAAATGAGGGTAATTAACTATTTTTAAAAGAAAAACTTATTGAAAGAGGAAAGTATAACAAACTTTTAAATACATCTCAAATAGAAAAGTTTAGCAAACTTTCAAAAACAGAGGAAGTATAATTGATTAAGAGCCTATTTGTTAGCATGAAAATCAGCTGATTTGGCTGATTTTGCTCACATTTATGAAGTTCTGCCTAAAGTGGCTGCATTGGCTTATTCTGCTGTTTTAAGAAAAAATTATTTTAAAAATATATTTTATTAATAAAATATAGAAAAAATTACTCCGTATATGTAAAAATGGCTAAAATGGTCATCTACAGTAACTTCAGCCAATACAGCTAGAAAAGTAACTCAAACCTTACTTTTTCTGCTTATTACACAATTCAGCGCGCGAAAACAAAAGTTACGTGTTTGGTGAAAAACTTGCTGATAAGCCTGATAAGCCGAAAAACAATGTTGCCAAAGAGCCTCTAAATATTACCTGAAGAGACTCAATTAGCTTGCTAAAGAACTAATGAGAAATTAGTTTACATGTTTAAGTATAAAAACTATTGCGTATTAATATGCAATTAAGTGAAAAATAAAATATAATTCTGGCAATCTTTACCTATGACATGTCATAAGGTAAATGGTATATTTGTTTATAAGAAATATTTATTATTTATTAATTACGAATTTTATTTAAATATTATAAATATTAATATTATTTTGGAGAAAAACAAATTAGGTCATAGATTGATAAACTCATTAAATTTTAGTTATCTTGAATAATTATCTCTTAAATATATTTTTTTACTCCAAGATTGCAACTACTCTAACGACCACAAGATAAAAGCATACAAATGGAATAATGAAATGATGGCAATATTGGATTCACACGGAAAATTATTATGATATGATCCAAAAAGAAAGGTGAAATACTTGACGTACATGAAAAGGAAACACTACATGATGATTCTTCATGGGTAAATTACTTAATTACTTAAGAATAGCTACAGAAAAAGTCTACCTAAATTATTGATCCAAGGAAATTATTGTTGAGAAGGTAATAAAATATTATAATCCCAAATCAAAAGTGTATATACCACTAAAGTCATCATCTAATCCGGGGGTAACAAAAAAAGGTGCATGTATTAGACAAAAGAACAGAACAAACAAAATAAGAGCTTTAGATATTTGAAAATTTGTGGCCTAGTTAACCGAGAAGTGTCAGTGTGTCATCGGGTGATAAAGAAAGTTCGCCGAGATGACTTTGTGAGATGACTGTAGAGTAACGCTGATTAATGAAATTAAATTTTGTGTTGGGTAAGCTACCGACCTAAATGGGAAAATGTGTAAGCTTTACAATTGAGGGCTCAAGCAAATTACAAATGTTACCATAAATAGATGAAAAGCATGCATATTCTACGGAACAAGAGCTATGGCAGACCAGTCATGGACCCGGGCCGGGCCGGTTCCGGGCCGGGCCCGGCCGGGCTTTTTTTTTGGGAAGGAAGGCCCGGGACCGGCCCGGGTAGCCACCGGCTCCGGTTTGGGTCCGGGCCGGGCCGGGCCGGGCCTCCGGTTCGGTTATAATTTTTTTTTTTTTTGCTTTCCTAACCCCCCCACTCACCCCCCAACCCCCCCAAACCCCCAAACCCCTCCTAACCATCAAGCCCAACCCAACTAACCCCAAAAAATGAAAAAAAAAAAAAATCAATTCGGCCCGGGCCCGGGCCCGACCCGGCCGGGCCGGTTCGCCAAATACTAGGCCCGAGCCCGGACCCGCCCCCCCCCACCGGGCCTAGGCCCGACCCGGACCCGGACCCGAGAACCGGGCCGGTTCCGGGCCCGCACAGTGGCGGGCCGGGCCGGTCCCGGGCCGGGCGGCCCGAACCGGGTCCATGCCTATGGCAGACGAAGAAATTACGGAGTCACATTTTGTTAAAAAAAACTAGAACTTGTTTAAATCAAGTCATAGTGTAAAAGATTTAAATACTTCCGTAAGTGACAAAACCGGTAAAAATTAAGGAGTAATATCAAATTATTTCGTGTGCTGAATTGTGTAATAATAAGAAAATATAGGTTGAAGTTATTTTTCCAATTGTATTGGTTGAAGTTAGGATAGAAGACCATTTTGACTATTTCTCATAATATTTTTCTTTATTTTACTGATAAAATATATTGTAAATATACTTTTTCATAAATCACCAAAACTAGACAATGGTCAGAACTTCATAAATTTCAATCTAACCTGCAATTTAGTCGATTTTAGTATTACCAAACGAACTCTTAATAATTCCAATCATAAGAGAACTCTTTTAACGTATTTTATCGTAATAACCTCCATATTCAATGCCTCTATATTCAATGTCTTCTTTATGCCAACGTCTCTTCTGGTATATTTTCAGCTGCTTCCAGGTTACCATGCATCCATAGATGGCTTACCACATGAGCCTTAGGGAGAGTCCAGCCTCGCTGAAACTCCGACCAAGCTCGAGACCCGCTGTTTAGGTTGGCCTTTGTATGATTGATTCTCAACGGGTCGTGATCCCCCTGTTCAAGCCCAAATGATGTTATTTGTCAATCCCATGTGTCGGGCTTCCCTTGGATTTGGTCGTAGTTACTTGCTGGGCTATGATCATAGTCCATGTACCATCAGTCTCATTTTATCATTTTCATTTGTCCCATTATATTTGTTGCATACCATATTTAAGTTAATGAGAATTGATTCTTATTTTACTTAACTATCAATTTCATTTATCTCAAAAATATCGTCACTCGCTCTCTCTTGTATCCATCTTAGGAGAACAAATGTAGTACCAATTATGTCATTAGTAATGTCAATTATGACATAAATATTGTCATGTCAATTACGGAGTACAACAAAAATATTGTGATAGCCTATTGAAATAATGTGGAAACAACTCAAATGCTTCGGATATAATATCTTCACTCTCTCATGTATCCATCTTAGGAGAACAGGTGTAGTATCAATTATGTCATTAGTAATGTCAATTATATATGACATAAATATTGTCCTGTCAATTAAGGAGGACGTACAACATTAATATTGTGATAGCCTAATGAAATCATGTGGAAACCAGCATACTAGTGCAAATAAAGGCTGACTGGTTTAAAAGTTGATAGGAACACTACATTCATTCACACGTACAAGTCAAAAGCAAAAAAATAGAGCAGTTAGTTAGTTAGGAAACTTCAAGGCATGAGGATGGCAAGTGGCCGGATTGGGGAGGGTGGGTATTAGCAAGAGATGTTGATATGGTTGTCTAGCTCTATATAGTTACCTCTCTCTCGTTTCATCTTCACTTCTGTTTATTTTGCCTCCGACCATTGCTATGGATAAAGTCCCAAGTAAGATGTGCAGAAGCGACTCATCAAGATAGGTGCACAAAGCACACCACAGTTTAGTACTTTACACCTATAGAGTACTAATTTAACTGCTCCTAATGCAAGTAAACTATGGGTAGTTAATGTTTTATTGCTTAGTTCCCACACGACAGGGAAATCTATCTAACAAGTATAGTAGTCCATCACTTCAAGATGGAATGGATTGACTAGTCGTTGCTCGTAGTTCAACTGATAGATAAGGAGTGACATATGGAGTAATTCTCGGGTTCAAATCCCGAAAACTACGATGAGAGTTTACTACGTAAAAACTCATAGGACCATTGCAAGTAACAAGGTCAAAGTCTCACTCGTTATTTGACAACTTGTGATTAAAGTTCAATTTAATTCATCCCAATTAACTGTATGATTGGTGCTAGGGAGCCTCAAGGATGAGGTGTTACATACTAATATTGTTAATATATTTATTCAATACTATTAATTAAAATCTACATATTTAGAAACCCTATTAATTTGTATGAAGTTCTATTGAATCATAAAATTAAATTCGTATATTGATTAAAAGTATTATCTATTTATCTGCATATACGATTGTATATTGAAATGAGACACGAGAAAATAGTAACAACTGCGTAGTACACGTTACAATGAGAATTGCTTCGTCGTGTCATATGTTTTGAGCGTTTTTTCATTCTCGTATCTCTAGACTATAGCTCGTAGTGTCTTTGTTAATTGGCCTAATAGACGTACGTTTTATAGCTTTCAAAATTGACTTTGATGGTATAACATTGTGAGACAAACTAGTCTTGTGTTAGGTAAATGGTCTATTGTTTGGACCATGTACTAAACAGTCAAAACTATTTGACATTTTACCCTCTAATCTTACCTCTTCCATTAGCTATTTTATAATTATCAAAAATGAAATATAAAATACAAAAAATGTAGTATTGATGATTATGATGATTATGATGATGTTTGTCTTTATAGTAGTGCTGTATTACTCCATTTGTTCCGAAAAGGTTCGCCAAGTTGACTTTTCTTGATCAATGATAATCAATTTTGACCAATGTTTTTTTAATAGAAAATTATTTTGAATATTAAAATTATATCAAAATGTTTCTTATTCAAAATATTTTCACAAAAGTATAAAATTTATAAATTATACGTAGTATATAAATATAATAATAAAAATCATTATCTATAACGAACTTTTTCGGAACGGAGGTAGTATATAGAAGTAAAATCATAAGTGAGGTGTTTTTCCATTATTTATTTAATTTACTCTCCAATTGCATGTAAGCTGAAATACGATGGATATAATATACACTTTATGAAATACATGTTCACAAAAATTCGTCAAAAATTTTTACCTGAAAGTATCTCACATAAAAGCTTCTATTGAGTAGTTTTGACCCAATCTTTACTGATTATTTCATTTATAATACTCCGTAATAGTATTACTAAAAAATAAAAAAAGTTGGGAGGGGCCATGGCCCCCCTACCCATACACATACACATACAATGAACGAGTTGATTGTTATGTGTGTTCAAGAAGAAGAGCACCTAAAAGTTAACTGCTCTATAAGACAGGTCTTGATCAACTGGAGGCTCGAAGCCGGATCTAAAACGTTGACAGATATTTATAAACACAATATCCCTGGTATTATAGATTGGCACTTATGGAAATTATATTCTTCATACATGTGGGGGATGAATCAATTCCTTCTCCTGGGAATGCTATCATCATTAAAATAAAGCACTACGTTTATGGCTGGTCTGCTATCCAAGACTTTTACTTTCAATGGTCCTCTGTTTCAAGTTGTAAGATGGAATCGCCCAAAGAAAGACCTTAAATTGAATGTCGATGCCTCGTATGTACCTGGAAAAGCAGCTGGAGGGGCGGTGTTGCGAGATAAGCTTGGTGGTTTCAAATGGGCCATTAGCTTCCCAGTTTTTGCTTCGTCTTCGGAGGAGGCTGAGCTTGTGGCACTGACTACTGCTACGGAGTGGGCGCTGACGAGAGGAATATCAGACTTTCAGGTAGAAACCGATTCAACAAGTGCTCTAAGATCGATTTCAGACAACAACATCTCAGGTGGGATGAACTATCTTCGGACATGATAAAAATGTAATAAATTAAAAAACAATAAAATAAATATTAAATAAAATTTTAAAAACAATTAAAATAAAAAATTATTGAATAGAAAACTAAAAGAAATTAAATAAAAAAATAAATGTAAAAATATATTAAAAAAATATATGCAGGTCTGTTTTTGATATTTTCAAAGAATAAAAATACTATCTTCATGCCATTTCCAAATAAAAAAGGTAGTTTTTATATAAAATTGGCATTTTTTCGATCAGTGGTGGAATTGTTGGGCGGTGGCCGGGGCTGCGGGAAAGGCCTCCATTTTTATATTTTTTAATGTGTTTTATCTATTTTTTATTTATTTTTAAAGTTTTTATTTGTTTTTTAAATTTTCATTATTTTAGTATTTTTTAAAAATATTTTAGAATTTTTATATTCTAATCTGATCAACTAAGTCATACACCCTCTGTCCCAAACTGAGTTGCAAATTTGATTTTTTTGGGTCAAATGTTTTCATTTTATTCAATTAATTAGGATATCAATTCCTAATTCAATTTTAATTTGGATTTTGTAACTTTACAGAGATTTTAATGAAGTTTATGAATATGTAATTTTTAATTATTAAAATTGAATAATTTATCAATAAAGAGGATGTAACTTTAAAATTATTTAACTAAAAATGTTTACTTTGCAAAACAAATTGAAACAATATTCTAGAATTAATTAATTATTTAGATTAGAACTTAGAAGTACTATCTTTTATTATACAAAGGGAAAATAAAAATTGTATAGTGTTCTCGCCAAAACACTGTGCAGTAATGGGCCGTATCTGTTAAAAATGGGTCTAAAATCGATCAGGCTGCATCTCTCTTTTAGTGCTCAGTAATTGTAAATGCTGTATTTTGCGCTCTGAAAATTACTTTATTTACTTTATTGGGTCAATGAATTATTGTTGATTAAATGCTTTAATTATAATAAAAATGGGGAGCACAGTACTCGAAATTCCACAGGCCACACATTTAATCTTTTTGCATTTCTTGAGCCCCACAACATTAAATGCAATGTACTAACTATAATGTTGAATTAATTTACTACTGCTCTAAAAATTACTTTATTTACTTTATTGGGTCAATGAATTATTGTTGAATAGAGTGCTTTAATTATAATAAAAAAGGGGGAGATTAGTACTCGAAAATCCACAAGTCACACATTTGGTCTTCTTGCATTTCTTGAGCCACACAACATGAAATGCAATGTACTAACTATATTAATTAATGGCAACTTCACATTTGATGGTTGTACTATCAAATCTCTAAGTAGAGATTGTGTGTGCGGACCAATGGTTATTACACAAATTGTTATACAACACTTTCTCCCTTTCCCAATATAAATACCCATTGCAAGTTTCAGAATCCACACCACAACCAAGCTAATCTCTTTTACATTCTTTGTATTCTTAAGTTTCTTGAGTGATTTGTGAGCCATGACAGGATCCTCAACACAAAGAGGCATGTGGTCCCTGATCAAGGATGTTGATCATACCAAGACCACTTGGGCCTTAAGGGTGAGGGTGGTCAGAGCATACGAAGTCCCACCACACTCAAAGGGGGTTGGGGGGGGGGGGGGGGACACTGGAGATGGTGTTGCATGATGAACAGGTACATCAGTGTCTACTACAAAATCTAAGTGTATTCACAGATTATAATTTTGATATCAAAAACATAAAATATCAAATTATCATAATATTACTATTATAATCATTATTATTATTATTATGTTCACAATGCTCACATTTTGATATTTAGGGAGACCGCATTCACGCTATCTTAAAAAGGCCACAGGTCGAGGTTTACAAAACCATGATCAAGGAAAACAAAATTTACGCTCTAAGGACGTTTTTGGTCCTGGACAACTACCAAATTCTCAAAACAAGTGACCATCCTTATCTGATTCAATTCATCAGCAAAACTCAATTCACCGAGGACACTAGGACAGAGTTGCCAATGATGGTGTATGACTTTCAGTCATATGACATGTTGCAGACTCAACGCGTCACCAACGACAACAAATTGATTGGTGAGAACAACCGAAAACTTTTATGTTTTAATTTGCAGAAATAAATATCTTATGCTGGAATTTGGTTATAGATGTCATTGGGAAAGTCATATGTAAGAGCGGTGTTCAAAACCACATCATTAGCGGCCGAACTGAAAGAATGATGGAGTTGACATTAGGAGACCCTGAGTGAGTTTTGTTTAAACATTCTCATACCATCTAAACTTAAGAGAGAAATGGTTTTGGAGCATGAACAAAATTAAATGTTAAGTAACTTCTATAAATTGCAGAGGGAACAGACTCGGATGTGTTTTGTGGAACAAGTACATAGACCAGTATATGGAGTATGTGACTGAAAATGTTGGTGTGCCTGTGTATGTAATTTTTCAGCTGTGCACGCCAAAGAGATACCAAGGTAATCGGTTTTGTAGGGCTGTTCATGACTACTGCTATTAGGCCAAAAATCAAAACTGTATGATTAAAAAAAATTAATTACTCATGACAGGCACCCTATCTACATATAGGGTGCCTTTGTTCATGACTACTTCTATTAGGCCACTACATTTTTTCCTTGACATAAATATAGGCATACTTTAAAAAATTTAATTATATGTAGATTGTTATAGAAATCTATATCGGTGTGTGTGATTATTATGTATGTATACATAAAAATATATAGTAGTATATATATATATATATATATATATATATATATATATATATAATTTCAATGGTCTGTGTTTGTGTGTGATTATATGTTCTAAAAACAATCTGATATGTGTGTGTGTGTGTGTGGGTGGGTTTAAATATATCTGCTCAAATTAGATTGAAGTGTCACAATTTTAAAAGACATTTCACCAGTTCATAGTTGAAACCATGTAGTTCGGGTAGATATATGAAAAAATTGTTTCGGAATTGACTAATGTTCATCAATTACAGTGCTTAAAGTAACTAGGTAATATGAAAAATGGATTTCAAAATTACTTTTATGAGGGATACAATATTTAGAGACATATATGACATTAAGTTGATAAAAAATTAGAGAAATACATGGTTGCACTTGAGAATTTGAGCATATGTATTTTGGCCAGAATAAGGTTGCCCAGGTATTTTGCCTTTCAATAACCTAGGTTCCCAAAGGCCATGAGTGAAAACTAAAGCAAAATATCTGAATGAATTTTTTTGGGGAATTTCGTAAATAAATTCTGTAAATGTTTAAAGATTTCGTAAAAGAACCAAAAAAATATGTGTACTTCCAAAAAATATCTAAAGTTACTGATTTAAATTTAAATATAAACTTTAAATTATTAATAAATTACAAAGTAGGTATATGGGAGAGTCATGAATCAACCTACATACATGTTCCATTTTGGATTTGGTGACTGATTTTGAAGTTGTTCATTTCGAACACTTGTCATTTGGCATTGCATTTTTAACTTTACATTGAAGTTTTCAAATTGGAACAATCGTTTTAAGAAGGTAGTCTTGATGGTGTTAACTGTTAATTGAACAAATCAAATATAGTGTTTGAACTTATCAATTCTTTCATATTGTTTTGTTTGATGCATACAGAATAATATAGTCCTTTCCTAAAAATAGAGTGAAGATAATAGTAGTTTATTACAATGGTATTGTACAAATGAATTTCATCCCAAAGTTTGTTTAAAGTTTCATACCACTCCCCACGACCGCACCATAAAGAAATGCTTAACTTGCATGACATGAATTTCTTCTTTACTGCTCATATGCTGTAAATTGAACTGGTCGCTCCAACCTCAGTTAAAGCCTCATTTCATGCTTGACATGTTGACATAATTTTACCAAATAGACTGCAAAAAAGTAAATGATAAACAAACTAACATTAGAAAGGATATACGATGCCTGTGCCGACATGTAGCAAACAAACTAACATTATAATAAAAATGTAGCAATTAAAATAAGTAGAAAGGTGGTTTGCCAACATGAGCATGAAAATGTCCCGCGCATATGTAAATTAGGCATGTACATACGGTCATACCCACATGATATTCTCTATTCCAAAATGTACATCATAAGTGTTTTCAAAAGTTGTGCATCCAAGGGAATGTGGGTAAACGTGAATGATGCAAAAAAATGGAATCATAATCACATTAATGTCAGGTTTGGTAGATGCAATGTTTAGGCAATGAGAGGAAGGTTGCTGCAAATGGGGCTGGCAGTGTTGTACATAATACAGGAAGGCGGCAACCTACTGCGCCCGTACTTGAAAAACACAAGAGTAGACCGAGGATGGAGCGCAAAAGAGCTCTGAACTTGCTGCAAGATTGTCTCAACCCCAACCACAAAGGATGCATCATTAGAGCCATAAAAGATCTGCATGCGCCATGCTTGTCACGACATGCCCTCAAGAAGACATCACAGTCATGATGCATTCATAATTAGAATTAACATGAGCATACAATAAAACCATTTTAGTATAAATAAATGAAAATAAATTAACCTACTTTGTCTTTGCTGCCACATATATAGAAGACCGTGGAAAGAACATCCTAGCATATGGGGAGCTTGGTATGGATGAACATACTGGATAAATGGAAAAAGACAATGGCAAAAGTCATTAACACACGTTTGAGCATGTGAATAAGTGCTTGAATCACTTGTTAAATACAATGTGTTTATTGAAGGGATAAGAATCAAAGAGATTACACAAGACAAATGGACGAAAATTGGAAGATTTGTCCCAAAACAACAATAGTAGTTACCTGTAGTGATTGAGTTGTCAGATGACTCAATGTGGGGCTCATGACATTGCCTAAAAGAACATCACTCTTTGTCAAACACAAATGTTTCAAACACAAAATTGCCAACATGTCAAAAGACTGCATAACCGTCGAGGAGGATGTTGTTAATTATGAATTGGTCAAAACCTTCGGTAAAAGAGAAGTACTCAATGACCACATCCCATGTGCCAGGACCATACACAATCTGAGCTCACGGTATGATGTGTTCGAAAAAATGTCTGGACATGCAATCAAGGAGTTTCTAGTTTGAAAAACGCAGAGATTGATATGAGTTCAAAGGTAGTAATAAATAGGTTTGACAGTATGTGCAAGAAAGTATTGAAGTTGCTCACAATCATGTCTAGCTGAACGAGTGGCACAAGAAAGCATGCGATTGTGGATTGCAGCACATCAGGGAAATGCAAAGTAGGGGCACGAAGACATCCTGTGAATGTGCTCTTTTAAACCAATGATAAGCACAAATGCATACGGGGGCAGGGTAAAATAAGGCGACAAAGACACAAATGTTTTAGGAGTTATTTTGCTTCGAAATTATTTTGATGGAAACAGAAAGAGATATGTACAATCATCTTGGTCATTAGTTTTTGGCTCACAAATACCCATACATGTAAAACTGCAACAAGTTTAAATGCAGAACAAACAAACCTTTAGCGCCAGACAGTGGACAAGATTGGTGCTGCACAATGTCACAAAGTTTGTGTTCCAATTCAGTGGTGCTTCTAAATTGCACAGAAAAGACACTGTGGCAACCCGAAGCTCTCAAAAATTGTTGATATGACGATTCTGTATAGCAACTGTAGCGGTTAACACTTGTGCGAGTCACCAAAGCAACCTCTATCCTCCGGTCATAAGTTGTGTGCAAAAAGTACTTAAATGTCTCATCGCCTGCAGCATCAAGGGCTGTTTCCACTGTGTACTCTACCAACAAGTCCATCACAATATCACGAACCCACACAAAAATAGAGCAATTAGTGACGAAACAAACTATTTGTTGCACAATAAGCACTAAGGGGAACAACAATAAAAAATGAAAAAAATTGAAATACCGCCTCTGTTATACCAAGACGACTCCACTAAAACAATGCCAAGGGAAAACCGACGGTACCTATGCATGCAAGGGAATGACGAGCTAAATGGGAAGTAGGGAAGTTACTCTGAAGAGAAGCGCCTCTAACGAAGGACGAAGGTTGATGACCCCGAGCTTTGAAGGAAAATCAAAAAGTGTTAAGGTAATAAATGGCGACATAAATATCCATCCGGACAGTTGAGCGATGCTACACGGTGGTTAAGCATGGAAAAAATAAAATTGCACCACACTTTCCAAAAACAGTTAAAAGTTTTTTAAAAAAAATCCATGTGGGAAAATGGATTTTTCCCACATGTCACGTCTCCAACTCTGCACTACTCTACCTTTGACAATAAATGTGACACTAATATTATATTGTTTGACATATGGTTTCAGCATTAAAGTATTCATGTCTTCTCTCACAACTGGGATAACTTATATCGTCCTTTGTGGCTTCTCTCCAGCGTTTTGAACTCACTATACTCATTCTATTGGGATCTGAACAGAGATTGGGACCTCGGGTACGCAGTATCTTCTTTTGCTAACTCTTTTAGTACTTCTTGGTTCTTGACACTGATATGTTCCTCTATTACTTGTATTACTGTGTTCAAAATTTGTGGAGTGATGTTTTTGTTCTAGTTCTGTTCATTTATTCACAGGACTGTTTAAATATATTGCGTATACTAATCTGTGACATAATTAAAAAAATATAACAAGAATCGTTTTCTTTTCTGCCAATTGCTTTACTCGAATTTTCAAGTTCAACAAGCCTCATTTCTTATCAAACATGTTATATGGACGGAAATGGGTAAGACTATTTTACTTTCAACAGTGATTTCTAAATTGATTATAATAATGGTTGCAGGAAATTATTGTTTTCTTTGTTTATCTTTTGCCTCAGTGTTAGTCTAGTTTATATATGCCGATTTAACCGCTGCCTTCATTTAGCCTATGTTCGGTTCACAATTTTGGAGGGGAGGGGAGGGACTTTTTCTCTAGATTCTGTTCCAATAGAGATGCGCAAAAGCTCTATTTGACTGTCATTCAATAAGTTTCTTCCTTTTTGTGTGGCCTCGTCACTCCCTTTGGCAGCATTGACTGATTTGAAAGCTATATCTCTACCTGGACGTATTTGGGAGGCCGCTAATAACCAACGAATGAAAAGTGCTTTGGGAGGGAATTTTCCCCCTTTTCCTAGTTTGGTTAAGAAATTCGAAGGTGAGGGGAGCTAAAACCTTACTGCCCGTTAGAACCTTACAGAGCTATATGTTTGATGATAGTAGTACATGTATTTATATATTCACACACACATTTTTCCTTGAGAAAAATCTGTAATCAGATATAACAACATGGTTAACAAATATCAATATTGAAAGTGTGCATACCTTGAAATATGAATATTTAGTACTTTGAGCTTCTAAGGTATAAGTTATTTATCTTTGTCTTCGTAGCAGTGTTGTGACTGTATATTTGCATTTCACGCGAAGTGTTATTATGGATGGTTATATATTGATTAATGTTTGTAAGTGTATTGCATTTTTTGTAGAACCAAGAGCCCAAAATCTTTTAGTTCTTATAAAACCTATGCGAAAACTTTATTTTTAGACTAAAACCAAAGTCACTCTCATTTTATTTATCTCCCTTCACCATTAAAATGTAATCTTATTAATGTAGTATTGAAGCTTAGTATCTCGAGAGAAATAGAGAAATAGAGTTGGAAAAGAAAAGGCCAAAAAGCCAATAAGTGTATTAAAAAAAATGTTTGTAAGTGTATTGGTTAGGGATGGACTCGGGCCGGTTCGGGCCCGGTTCGGGCCTGGGCCCGGCCGGGCCTCGGGTCTGTTTTGTTGGGCCCAAGCCCGAACCGGTGGCCACCGGTTCCGAGCCGGACCGGGCCGGGCCACCCGGTTAGTTTTTTTTTTTTTCCTTTTCTCCCCCCCTCACCCCCCCACCCCCCCAAACCCCCCAAACCGGTCCTAAACATCAAGCCCAACTCAATAAAGCCCAAAAAAATGAAAAAAACAAAAAAAAAAACAGTTTTTGGCCCAGACCCGGGCCCGACCCGGCCGGGCCGGTTCGCCAAAAATTGTAACCGAGCCCGGAACCGCCCATGCCCCCGGGCCTAGGCCCGAACCGGACCCGGAACCGGAAAACCGGGCCGGGCTGGTCCCGCACAGTAGCGGGCCGGGCCGGGCCGGTCTCGGGCCGGGCGGCCCGAACCGAGGCCATACCTAGTATTGGTAGAAGCCAAAAATCATAGTTCCTATTTACGTTTATGCATCTCTATTTAATGATGGATAATATTTTTAGGTGGTTGTATAATTTAGACTCTCTTTTAAGCATGTCTTGCCTCTAAGTAATCACGAGTTTTTACATGTTATTCCTTGTTGATAGAAGCCTTAAAACCCGGTCCCATGCTTGATTAAGTAGAATTTATTTAGTGATTGTGATTTGTGAATGAGAAACATGCAGTACAGCAGCTATATGATATATTTGAGTTACGATTTGTCTGTGAACTATAATGGTTTATAATGATGTTTGATGTATGTCCGTGATATTGTGTTAATGTGCCACTGACTTATTCTAAAAGAAGTAACCTTTGTTTACTCAAGCACTCAAATGAGAAGTTTGAGTCAACTAGTTTCATCCAAAAGAAACAACATTTTGTGTGCTTAACTACTCAAAATGAGTAGTTATATTTAACACGTTTCTTCCAAGTCTAAAAAAGTGAATTTGTTCCACTTCTCCCTTTCAATCCTTCATTGATTCATAAGTTTTACCAAATATTTTCTCTATATGCAACACTATCCTTGTTCCATTTTCATTTTCGTTTGTCTCATTAAATTTGTCACATTTCTTTTGGTTATATTTGTGTTATCCTAATTCATTCTTACTTTATTTCTTATGGTAACTCCATATCTATCTTATGTCACAATCATAGTAGGACAAAGAGAGTACTAAACAGTTCATGTTAGATTTAAAGAATTTTCTTATAAGAAAAATAAGTTATAAATAAATAATAAGTTAAAGAAAAGCTATATCCTAATTGGAAGAAGATGTGATCATGTGACCCACGAAAAGTTTTCGTACAATGGAGAAGTGCGAGCCAGTGAGATTGCCCGATTGGAGCTCCGAGACAAGAGTTGCTAGATTTTCACCCCCATCGTGTCTTATACTCAAACAAGTTTATGGTTGCCAAGAACAATTAAGTATATTTACCCCAAAAAAAAAGTATATGCAAATCACAGCAAAGGACCTAGTGCATAAGGCACTTTATAAATCACATAAAGACACACGGGGTAAAAGAAACACCAAAGCTACTTTGTATTCAAGCCCAATATGTCTCATCACAAACAACTTTTGTCGTTTCTAGTTTCTAGAAAAAAGATGACACTCCCTATATGAGGGTAGACAACTATTTGGGAGGATGTAAATTGAGTTTTTATTTCACATTAATGGAAAGAAAGTGAGGCCCCATGTCGTTGAACCCGAGATCTTTGCTTGGAGTTGAACTCGAGATCTTTCCCTTGTGGCACTCCCTTCTTACAGCTAAGCTCCCAGTAACTTTTGTCGTTCTAAGATGAATTGCTTATGATATCAACAAAAATAATAATTCATCTTAAAAATGGAAAAACAATGTCTATGACAACAAAATTAGACTTGCACAAGGGCTTACACACATAAGCATGGGACATGTATAACGAGAACTTTTCAAGAAACAGTGCTTTGGCATGTAGTGACTCTCGTGACTTGGCCCATATATAGAAATGGTGAAATAAATTAGGTCTTACTATTCTTCTATCTATGGCGTTGGATCCCATTTTAAAGTTCACTGGTGGTCCACTTCAACTGCAACTGCATATGAGAGCAGCCACCCATTCGCATTATTGTGCACTTTTGTAGTCACAAAGAGGACCACTTCCCACTCTCCAAAGAAAAAAGGCAATGTCACAGAAAGGGGGTATGATTGCGGCATATATCCTAAATAGGCAGGCATTTCTCTATCCCAAGTCTTTTTTTTTTGCTTGATAAAGGCATGAGACATACTATATCTCTAGGTAACACTTAACAATACTCCTCAATTCGTTCATAAAAATATTTCTCAGAGCCTAATAATTGGGTGGCCGACCTGCTAGCTCGGACAGCCAGATTGCCAGCTTAGCGAGGGAGCGATTAATGAAGTAGTTAATGTAGTGATTAATGGTCGAATCGTTACAATCCTTTAGCGGTTACATTTTGTAAGGCCTAAAAAAGTTACCAAAGTTCATTTGTACACACACTGACACACAACACCCATGTACTAAAGATACTATGCTCGCCACACAAAATCCCTAAACGCTCTAATACTTCCTTTATGTTCCTTAACCCTTTAAATTCCTACTTGAGTGGTTTGTTGTAACTTTCCTAAAAGCCTAAAAGTTTCATTTTGAACCAACAATGACAAAGTTGATACTACAATAACAAATGTAATACTTTGTATTGATTGAACAAAGTATGTTAAATAGTATAATTGATTGCTTTAAAAAACTCAAAAGAAAACATATATCTGTCGTTTATATTTATTTTATTAATATTCACAAAAGACCCTTTTGAAACTATTTCATATCATAGATGAATATATAATACTACCTATTTTTATAAGAAATAATGCCTAATATATAGCTAAAGTAAGGTTAGTGTAAAAATTTGATTTAATAACTTTTAGTGACTATAATTATGATAAACTTCTCCAGTGTTGTGATTATAAAAGTATGCTCCAAGTCACTTAAGTAACATTTTTATTTACATGTTTTATTTCAATAATGTTTTAGGAAAATCCTATTTTTATAACCAAATTTTATTTATCTATGTTGTGTCTCAATCTAAATGAAATGTTATTGAGATCTAGAGCCCGTTTGGTAGCACACTAGCACCAAAATCGGCTGTTTTGGCTGATCTGCTGAAATTTATGAAGTTCTGGCTGAAGTGGCTGCATTGGCTGATTCTGATGATTTAAGAAGAAAAAATAAAATAAAATATACTCCCTCCATCCCCTTTTAAATGTCCCGTTTTGCCATATTGGAATGTCCCTATTTAATTGTCTCATACCTTATTTGGTAAAGTTTGTGTGGCTCAAAATCATTCTTACTTTATTCTTACTTTATCAATTAACATCAATCACACAAACTTATTTTTCTTAAAACTCATGTCACCCTCTTCCGGGACATTTAAAAGGGGACAGAGGGAGTATTTTATTAATAAAATAAAGAAAAAGTTATATGTAAAAATAGCTAAATAGTCATCTACAGCAACTTCAGCCAATACAGCCAGAAAAGTAACTCTAACCTTACTTTTTTTTGCTTATTACACAATTCAGCGCGCGTAAGAAAAAATTACGTGTTCGGTGAAAAGTTGGTTGATAAGCCTGATAAGCCAAAAAACAGTGTTGCCAAATGGCCTCCTAAACTTGTATTGAAAGAGGCCGGGATATGTATATATGAACCATATCAGATCTGTATGGGCCCGGGTCTAGGAGCACAAATAAACCTGGAAATTTGTAGTCACACAGATCTAATATGCAAAAAACATGCAAGTATGGGCTTGTTTAGTTCTGGCCCATTCAGGTGGGCCCGTATATGGCCACATCAAGGATTGACATTGAACCCCTTTCACATTTGGAATAGTGTCATCAAAATCTATTGTTTTATATGGTAATGTTGAGTTAAAACACAATGATATGTCAGCCTCCTATTGGATAATGAAATTCTATTATCACTCCAACTAAAGCAATTAATTAACTCCCTCAAATATCACGGCTAATTTTTTTCTCCAGAGAAAAAATCTCTCTTTTTTAAAGTAATACGGAGTGTAACTTTTGTATTTATAATCTAATTTTTATAACCAGACCCCCCTTGGAGTAAAAATAAATAAATAAATAAATCTAATTTTTATAAAAATTATATCAAAATTCATATCTTTTATGACCTTTCATATGACATCAATATTATATATATAAAAATAAAAATATTATCTATTATTTTATATAGCATAATTGAGTTAAAAATTCAATTGATTAGTAAAAATTATAATATCACTACTATTATAGCATTTAATTCTTATCGTTAACTTAATTGGTTCATCTTTGTAATTCGCTACATGTATCAATGCTCATTTGGAGAAAGAGAAGAAAAAGAATCTTTTTTATGTATTACTCTCTCCGTCCCTCTAACAATGGGACAAGAGGGAGTGACACACAAACTAATAAAAAGTGGTTTATGTGGTTGATATTGAATTGATAAAGTGAGAATAAAGTAAGAATGTTTTAGAGCCACACAAACTTTGCCAAATTTGGTATGAGACAATCTTAGTGGGATGGACCCAAATGGTAAAACGGGACAATCTTAGCGGGACGGAGGTAGTATAACTTATTTATTTGTACTCCCAATTTTACAAAAAAATAATCAAAATTGATAAATTTTTATGATTTTCCATATGACACCAATATTGCATATATGAAAATAAAACGTATATATACAATAAGATTAGGTTAAAAATCAACGATGTGTCAGACTCTTATTGGTTGATAAAAAAATATTATCATTACTACTAAAACATTTAATTGATCTAAGATCACTTGGTGCATCACTGCTATTCACCTGATGCATCAGTGTTATTCATAATAATCATGCCAAATCATTTGGTAAAAGTGGAGGAGAAAAATCTCTTTTCAAAGTGGTATAACTTTTTATTTGTACTCCAATCTTTACAAAAAATTATATCAAAGTTGATCTTTCATATTCCTTCAATATTGCATATATAAAAATGAAAACAGTACTCTTATATGCAATAAAACTGAGTTATAAATCGGTAATGTGTCAGTTTCTTATTAGTTAATAAAAAATTCTATTGTGACTACTGCTAAAATAATTAATTAATTGAAGTTCACTCGGTGCTTCACTGCTATTTACTCGGTGCATCACTATTATTCACTTTAATCACGCCAACTTATTTCAATAAATAAAGGGAAGAAGATTTTTTTTCTTTTCTATATTTGTGCTCCAATATTAAAGATTTAGATCATATCAGAAAGATTCATACTGAGGGATCATACAGGATCAGACCAGATAAGAAAAAAATTTAATTTACATAAGATCAGATCTTAAAAATTTGAAATCATAAATATTCATATAAGGTGTATGGAACAAATACCACATGAATTAGTTTCCAAAGTAATGGTACAAAATCAAATTCTTTAAATGATGAGACTCCAATTCACGTAGGGGGACTCTAATATAATCATACAAAATTAATATTAGACATTTGAGTGAGGCTCTAATTCAAGACAAAAAAATTTAAATAATGGAACTTTAGTTCACATGAACGTGACTCGAATCGTACAATGCCACTAATACACGAGTATCCAAATTAAATAATGTAAAATTGTAAACTTCAATTCACATATTCCCTATTCCAATTCAACACTTCTTCTTATCACCCCTCATCATATAATTAATTAGCCTTATAAATAAGGAAAAATTGAAAATAATAATACCAACTATTACTGATCCGCTAACAATAATCCCAACTATTGATTATTTTGTATAATCCCAACTATATGGTTCGTCCGTCAATAATGGTCCATGACCAGATATTACCTCCTATAACAAGTGAATTTTAAATAGAATTGAAGCGTAAAAATTTAAAGTTGAGATTATTTATAGGGATTACTTGCTACATCTCTTCTAATCAATTTTAGAAAGTACATGATTTTATTTATAGCTGGTCACGTCGGACCATTATTGGCGGAAGGTCCCTAAAGTTGGGATAATTCTGAAATAATCGATAGTTGGGATTATTATGGGCGGACTGCCAATAGTTAGGATTATTACTATCAATTATTCCTATAAAAAATTAATAATTATTATAACAATAAGCACATAAATCACAATATGCAACAAATTCATACTCCAAAAGATGGCCGGTGATTCACCACCCGTATTTCATGGTCGTGGACAGTTAGTTCATAAAAGAAATTGACTATAGCCAAAATTTTGATCATATCATATTAATAGTTCACAATGTTTATTAGTATTTGTCACCTTACCCATATCAAATTAACACTACCGGGGCATGCCCCGGGTGTTACACTAGTTAGTTATAAAAATTATACTCCGTATATATTAGCTAGGTCGGGGCATAGATGCCTTGAGACAACTAAGAGCCCGTTTGGTCGGGCCATAGATGCCTTGAGACAACTATTTTCCAACTTATCAGCCTAATAAATCTACTCTTTCATCAAATACGTAATTTTAGTTACTGTAGAAGTCATTTTAGTTATTTCTCATAAATCAGAAGAATCAACAATCTAGTCACTTCAGTCAAAACTTTATAAATTTGTAACCTAATCAGTCAATCCGGCTAATTATAGTTTTACGAAATGAACTCTAAGACATGGCTCCCAAAGCATTTTTAATGCGTTATTGGCTATGTATTCTTCTCAAAAGAATGAGACAAATGCTTCCTACTTATTGTTCTGTGTTTCTATTTCAGAATTTTTGGAGAACTAACGTATTTTTCAAAATAGGCTAAAGAGTCAAAACCATCCCAAACCAGTACCAATTCAAGAATCTGAACCAACTTACCTGGTTAGGGTTCCGACTTCTGATTCACCCTATAATGGTTACTGCAAGGTAACTGCCTATGATTTCTAACTTCCTATACTTCTTTTTTTAACTCATATTCGAACATTTTGGTTTATATTAGAAAAATTAGGATCTCTTTACTTATTTTTCAATTTTTTATTTCTTTTTCCTGTTTCCCGTTCTACAATATTTTGTATCCATTACCCAAATCTGAGCACTTGTGAGAAGCATTAACACTCTCAAAGCACTGTAGCACCATGTATGTTCCTTTTTGAAAAACGAAAAATGACTTCTCTAATTTTAGAAGAAAATCTGAGGCATGTCTTGTTTTTTATTTTGGAAAATAAACAGGTCAACACGTCTTCCAATTTTCTTTCCTCCATTGTTTCAGTTTTGTTGAAAACAGAAAATATTCTTAGTAAACCACCCCCAGGAAAACGTGAGCAACAATATATTGGTGCTCCTCTCTAAAAACCTAGAGGCCGCCTCCCCTCTTTGTTGTAGGCATGGATCGGTTTCGGGCCGGGCTCTGGGCCGGTCCAAACCAGGCTGGTCTCAGGCCGGTTTATTTTTTTTTTTTTTTTTTGCTTTTCTAATTAACCCCCGACCCCCCCCAACCCCCCAAAAACACCTAGCCCAACCCGGGAAAAACAAAAAAAATTGAAAAAACAAAAAATAAATAAATAGGTCCGAACCGGGCCCGGCCGGTTCCAAAGGAAGGGTAGGCCCGAAACCGGACTGCTCTAACACACCAGGCCGGTCCTAGGCCTGGTTCCCGGGCCGTTCCGGGCCCGCACAGTGGCAGGTCGGGCCGGTTTCCGGGCTGGGCCGACCTGAACCGGTCCATGCCTACTTTGTAAGGGTTGAGATTTTCCGCCGTCCCTATCAATATGGGGCTGGAGCGGCAGATTATTTTGATTGCAAGTGTTCTAACGCTTGGGATTGCAACTACGTCGAAGGAGATAACGTTGGCGGATAAACAGATTGCGGCTGAGAGTTTGTATCGGTGCTGGATCGTGAAACATTGGTCGGCTGCTCCGGCGGTGGTGGAGTTGGTATTCACCCATATTGCAAGAGTCCGTCCTCCTCCGGAACCACCCCCATACCAGGAAGAGTTTTGTGGAAAGATTTTATTTCAATATTATTGTTTCTTTAGTAATACTTGTTTTTGTTGTAGTCCGGCTGTCCGGGTAGATTTGGTTTAAATGTTTGAATTTTTGGAGTTCTTTTGATAGGCAAGGTTTCAGATCCGTTCGTTAAATTTGCGCGTTTCAGGTTTAGTAAGTCATGTTGCTTTGTATGACGTGATTGATTCTATGTCTACTCCTAGGCTTCACGATTGGATCTGTAAAATCTGTCTGAAGATTGTCGTGTATGCACTCTCAATTTTAATATAAAGCCGCCTGTTTTACGATCAACAACAAAAAAAGTAAACCACCCTCTAGTGTTTGGAACTTGCAAGTTGCAACCCACCAATAGCACTCTAAATAAATGATCAGCTCTGAATGCACTGATGCACATTCAAGGATATTTGAATATTGAGTTTTAACAGAAATATTACCATAGGGTGGGTGCAAGGATCAATGTCCAATTATACATCTTTAATCTTTGGGTAAACAAATTTCTACCACTCTTAGAGGTGATAGCAAAGAGGACTGGACTTGCTAATTTAGTAAAAATGCAAAATATACAGTTGCAGCATAGAAGAGAAGATTTTTTAGAACGGAAAATAAGATAATGTTACAAAGCAGATCGTGTTAAAGGTGACAAATTTATGCACCGGCTAATATTGGACCTTATGCGATTAGGAATCTAAATAGCAGCTTACAAAGGATTATACATGTTGACCAGTGGCTCTAAGTTCACATTTCCAGTGTCAGAATTCATTGTATCTATGTTCTTGTAAGCTACTTAAATTGGCCTTATCCATCTCAATAACGATTTAACCCCTTCTCATCTGAAGTCTGAAGTCTGAACGTTGTCAGACATTCAACCACCAATAGGAAACTCAAACACTCAAAAACCTGCAGGAAATCAGAGTCGGTCAATACTCAAGAAAATGCATACTCCGTATTAGATTCCCATTTAGATTTTGAAACAATAATAACTGGAACAAGGAGTGTGCCATAGCTGTACCATATTGTCAAAGATGGTGTAAGTTGGTCAATCCTGCTCACCCACGGTTCTGGTGGGACCACACCATTGATGGGCAAAATAAGTGAGGGCTAATTTGTGGCGGGTGAAAACTTTAAGGCAATACACGCCATTAGGAAGCTTCCAAAGACTGTTAGCTCACCCCCTCAAAGCAAAAGGTACGTTTGTATGGGAGTACTAAAATCTAAATTACAAACAAGACTCTTTTGGAGGGCATATGTGTAGTACAACAATAACAACAGCCAAGCTTTTTTCTCAAAAAAATTCAGGGTTAGCTAACATGAATCGATCTATCATCGTATCATTATTTCGATTCATGTCATGTAATGTGACTAAATAATATTGTTGGTTGCCACGCGCCTACCACAGTACTCTCCTCTTTTATCCTGACGGGATAAACATGGGATATTTTTGGATCTGATTCTTAAAACTATTTCTGCTCCTTCAAAGAGCAGAAGAAGAAGTTGGAGTGTTTGAGTGAAAGAACAGAAGTACTTTTGGTGCTCTAATTTACTCCCATAAGGAGTTTTTTAAGAAGCTTGGGGAGGCCTGCTTCTGAAAATTGATTCAATTTATACTTCCATTATAACATTGATACAGCTTTCTTAGCTTATTTCTTACTCCATATATGCTTTCATTGCCTTGTCCGTACAAGTCCATTTCACAATGCATATCAAATACAAGAAAACTCACTGATAGATTATAGATCATAAATCAGTATAATGTCTCAACTATTATGAAAACAAATAACTAACTAGATCCACTAGAAATGAAATCCAAGGCAAGGTATTTTATTCTGGCATTGAGATTCCTATCGCCTGCAAACATTTGGTACACAATGATTGGTTTAGCCAGAAATCTATAATGGTATATTACTGATAAATATCTTGAGATTCCTTTGTCTTGTGGAGCTTTAACTTTTTGGAATTCGGACCTCCAGGGAAAAGGAACTTACATCCCCCTTGCCCAATATGATGCTATCAAACTACTTATCAATGAAACACTTCTTAGAATCTTTAAATACTTTACTCAATCTCCTTTTATCAGATTTCATCCTTGTATGCCTACAAACAGAGGCGGGGCTAGAGATTTAGTATCAGGGGAGCTCGAGGTCAACAAAATTTTATTAGGGGGGCCGGAGTTTCTTACATGATTATATTTTTATAGTTTATTAGATTTCCAGATATATATACACATGTGGGTTTTTTGGGGAGATGCGCGGCCCCTACTGGTCCCTCTTTCGCTCCACCACTACCTTAAAATGAATCCACTTAAATCTGGTCTAGCTTTCATAGTGAGCAAAAACTATATTGATAAAAAGAGATAAAGATGCTGAGTCTCCCAACTAAAGATCAAGCTCAACAGCCAAAAGCAAGAAAGAATAGTTCTAAGCAGTGGCGGACCCAGAAAGTTGTAGCCACAGGGTCCGTACCCTTTTATATCTCTAATCTCTAATTCATATAAAACTAATAAAAATCCTCATGTTGTTCAGGTATATTATAAGCCAAATTGCTTCACTTTCATCAATTACTTGATCCAATCCTTCATCTATTAATGGCGAATCATTTGAATTAACACCTGAACTACTTCCGGTAGTCTGAGTTTTTTTAAATTTGGGTACAACACCAAAATATCTTTTCATCCTAAATCGTATAAAATTGAAAATAACATTAATAAATACATACATTTATTAATTTAATCTAACATTTAAAAACTTGTGAAGAGGCATAGGTCTAAAAACGCATAGGCCAAAACGACGTAGTTTTGGTCTATCTAATTAAAATAGTCTTGAAAAAAAACGGATCCCGGGGGGATTCGAACCTGGTACCTCCAGGTAGCATGGAAACCTTAAACCTGCGCTTGCTCCTGTTCGCCCGCTGCGTTCTTTTGATTCTTAGGTCGTTTTTTGTGTAAATATACATGTAAAAATTAATTTTATATAATATATATATATATAATATTTATAGGTAATGTTTTCGAGGTGCACGGGGTCCCGGGACCCCGTGGGACCCTTAGTGGGTCCGCCTCTGGTTCTAAGAGTGATGAGGAATCCATTTTTCCTCCAAGAGACTATAAAAACATGAGAAGGAAATGAAAAGTAAAAAATACATTACAGATGCTCTTCAGTTGTCCCTTCAGTTCCACACCAGCTCTGAATATGTTACAGAGATTCGGAAATTGGAACGACATAAGTAACATGAAAATTCATCATAAGAGCTTTTTCATAATTAAAAAAACACGAGGAAAATTTATTCCAAACAGAATGTCATATCTACAAAAACAGATTGTGCCCCCTGTCAGGATAGATAGTTAGAAAGAGAAAAATGGACAAAACTAAGGGAAGTGAAAATGAGGAAAGTAAGTTAATAATGGATGAGAAATACAGAAAAATTTATTTACAGGCATACTGCAACTATCTATTTACACATGTTTTTCCTTTATAACAGCGAATTTCTTCTAGCTAATAAAGCGAGTATGATAGTAAGTGACGGGTTATTGGGTGCACCTACTTCCTTCAAAAAAGAAGAGCACCACAAACAAAAGACAGTATCAAGTATGAACCTATTAAATGAAAACATTTGGTCAAACATTAAACACTTACAGGGTCATTTGTCCTTTTCTAGTGAGGTTTGGGAGGCAGTAAAAGCTGGAAAGCAATATCATGGGTCAACAGTCTGGTGGCAAGTCTACAAAATTTCCACCCTAATAAATAGCAAAGGTTTCCACCAACTAAAAGCAAAAAACACATTCTCTACAGAGTTGGAAAAAATAGCCAATCCCAGGTTTTTCCTAAGACAGCCGAATGTTAGTTGGTCAAAAGAATGAATAACGATCAGGTACAGTCCACTAAGTTGAAATCCTCTGCTTCAAGGAACAACAAGAAGGCAGGCACAGAAGAGCAAAGAAGCAAGATTTTGAAAGGGAAACGGGCGCGGTTGTATATCATCCGAAAATGCCTTCACATGCTGCTTTGCTGGAAAGAAAATGGGGCATAGAGATTGTGGTAACATTTAACTACTATAGTCTGTATTTACAGTTCCAACTTATTAGAAATGATAGGAAATCGGCTACATAGGACAGAAAATCAGAGCCTGTGATAGAAAAAAATGCTTGATACCCTAATTCAAGCATTAAAGATCCCAAAACAAACAAAAAAACAGTGTGGATGAAGTTCATATTTTTGTACTCAAAAGGAATCGATTCTCAATGTGGATGAAGTTCATATTTTTGTACTCAAGATGGATCATACTTAAATAGTTAAATGTACTAATTGCATACGCAAATAACGCAAATACCCTTTTGACACAAATTTACTCGCCGTGTTGTTGATCACAGACAACAGATGAAACGAATCGTATAAAGCAATTAAAGATGGCTGCTTGACAAGTGACTTATAGCTCAGAGTACAGATCACAAAATCGAATACTCCTACCTGATTTTGGGATGTTATTCAACGACTTTGCGCATGATCGCGCGATTGAATGCCAATTTATATTCACTTACGGAAGCTCGGGGAAGTTGAGATGTGTTCATCTTCAACTTATGAGATAAGGAAATGGTGCTCCAAACCATAGACCGCCAGGGCACCAGATAAAATGAGAGCTCGCAAACGCGCTGACCTGTTAAGCGGCGAATCCCTTTCTTCGCTGCCAGGGATTAGTGGAGCTTACCAGAACCCTAAATTTTGCGCTCCCTATGAAGCTGGAGTTGGCTGGTTACTTTAATTTCAACCCTGTAACATTTGTATTGGAGAGATGCATTTATGTCAATCTTTAATGTAGGAGGCAATGAATTTCTTAATAATTTCCCTTCCAATCAGTTAGATTGTAGGGTTTTTTAACTTTTTTTGTGAGGAAAATGTAGAGTTTTTTTTTTTAATATTATTATTAAAAAAACTTTGAATGTCACTGGGACATAAATGTAGAGATGCATTTATGTCACATCTCAAGTTTCTATTTATATGTTTTATAGTCACTATGATATAATATTCGAATATAAATATTGTGACCCGCACAAGTCCGAATTTGTCGTTCTAACCTAATTAACTAGTATGTGTTTCTATTTGCGATTTTGCGTGAATTCGTTACCACTTGAAACTACATAAAGTTCATCTATAAATTATTATAAAAAGTTAATGCATTAAATCAAAGTCATGATACACTAAAAATTTCAAAAACAAAAATTACTTAGGCTTGAAAAATAAATATTTTATATTAATAATTGAATATATAAAATGGTATATGT